CCAAGAGCAAATGCTGTCCCAAACCAACAGCGGCCGCGGTTGGGCGGGCGACCTTGCGGCCTCAACTGACAACGCCCGCGGCGACGCGGACAGCGCGTCCTGCTCAAGATGAGCAGGAGCTGCTGCCGGTCGTTGCACCCACTCTTTCCCTACCTGACTACCTACCAGACCACCCCAACCCAACCCGAAGACCCGAATTTCGGGTTGGGGGGGGGGGGTAAGGGCTCCATACGTGTTTTCTCGATGTCCCGCGACCCCCCCCCCACTGGAAGTGGAGGGCAAATCTGAGCCTTCGGGTTGGGTTGGGGTGGTTTGGTGGGTGGTGAGCTAGAGAGCGACGGGCGCGACGCGAGCGGCTCCGCTGCAGCGGCGGGGATGGCAACGCCCCCGCTGCAGCGGGGCGATTGGGCCGAAACTGGCTACAGGAAGCAAGGGCTCCCAGCTTCGCGCTTCGCGCTGCGCGAAGCGCGAAGCGCGACTAACTTCGCGCTCTTCCTTGGTGGGTGGTGACCACCCCTTCCGATCGCCCCGGCCTCCCTCTGCGCCCCCCGCGGGAGTCCAGGGCGCCAGCCACGCCGCGCGGCTCGCGGAGCGCCCCGTGGTCGGCGGCCGCGGCCAGCGCCCCGGCCACCTCGGCCACCTGCTCGGCCGTGAGCCTGGGCGTCTGCCCACACAGGGGGGGCCCTCTCCCCCGTGGGGAGGAGGCCTCGGAGAGGGGCGCGAGGCGGGGCTCTGTCCAGATCCACCGCCTGGTGCCCCGACGTCCTGGTGCCCCGACGGGCGGTGGATATGGATGTACTTCGGCCCGGAGATGTCCATACCCAGATCCATATATATATATATATATATATATATACAAACATACATACATACATACATACATACATACATACATACATACATACATACATACATACATGCATGAATGCATGCATGCATGCATGCATGCATGCATGCATGCATGCATACATCCATACATCCATCCATCCATCCATCCATCCATCCATCCATCCATACATACATACATACATACATACATACATACATACATACATACATACATACATACATACATACATACACACACACAGACAGAGAGACAGACAGACAGACAGACAGACAGACAGACAGACAGACAGACAGACAGACAGACAGACAGACAGACAGACATACATACATACATACATACATAAATACATACATACATACATACACATCTATCTATGTATATAAACATACATATCCATATCAATATCCACCACCTGTGGAGGCCCGAATGCCTCCATATCGTATTACATGTCCATGTCCATATCCATATCGATATCCATATCCATGTCCATGTCGGGAGGCCCGAATCTACACATATCCACCGCCTGTGGAGGTCCGCGGAGATCGATCCCCCAGGGGGTGGTTATAGACAAATCCCCGCCTCGGGAGGGGACAGGAAAGAAGGGCAAGGCTCAAACGCACTCGAAGCACACACCTGGCATCTCGTCTGTCCAACCCCGTCCCTTCCAGGTTAGGCTCGGTCGGGTGGAACAGAGACAGGAGATGCGGGAGGAGCACCCCCAATGCTGGTGTCTGATGGCCAATGCCGAGGCAGCGAGGATCGTCAAGCGGGGCGAGGACGTGCGAGGTGAGGCCCAGGGGAGCGAGGCGAGGACGGGCGAGCTCAGATCACTGCCCAACGCTGCAGCACCATGTCCAGGCGCAGGAAAGGCCACGCCTGCCGTCGGCGGCGCGCGGCATGGGTCAGGGGGGAGGGGGGAAGGTTTCTCAGAGGGAGGCTGCTGCTCAAAAGGCGCTGGCCCTACATCTGCAGACGAGGCCCGCGCCTTCTAAGACGCAGGGGTGGTTCTAAGAAGCCGTTCCCCTTCCCCCATAACCCCCCCTCTGCGCGTGGCCGACGCAGAACCAAGCAGGGAGACATCGAGGGGCGGCCTGGATGCCCCGTGGAGGCAACTGGCAGCTCCAGCCAGTGGGGAGGAGGGCTCGGTTCTTCGGCAGTCCTTCGGGGAGCAGGAGCACGAGGAGCTTCCCTCCTTCCCTCCCTCCTCGATCCTCAAGGAGTGCCCAGAGGCCCAGGCCGAGGGGAGGAGGTGGAGGAGAAGGAACGCAGCTGGGACTGGACGCAGCGCAGCCCGCCCCCCCCCCCCACACTGCCCCTCGTGACCCCAACCTGAACCCCACCGCCCAGCCCGTCTCCGGCCCCTGTCCCTCCTCGTCCTCCTCCTCGTCCACCATGGCCCCCTGCCCGAAGCTGGAGGCCTCCTCGATGGGGTTGGAGTAGATGGGGTCGGAGGATCGCGCCGCATCGCCGATGCATCGGCGACGTCGGCGAGGCATCGGCGCCATCGGCGTAGAGAAAATCGGGCTCAACATCGAGCAGCATCGCCGACGCATCAGCAATGTGGCACGATCCTCCGACCCCATCTACTCCGACCCCATCTAGGAGGCCTAGAGAATCATTGGCGCGAGACTTCGCAAGTGATTGGGAAGACAACATCGCTTGTCTCCTTGTAAGAGCTGCTGGTATACACTCATGTGGGCCCGTGGCGTGGAGAATCAGTGGGAAATACCGCTGGTGACGAACATCACTTGTGGATGGGACTTGCTACCCGTGCTGTGAGCGCCGCGGTCCCAACCAAAACCTTGACCTCCAAACTGATTCCAATCCGCGTATCACAACACCGTCCCGTGCAGCTCTAGCGTTCCGACCCCTCTGGCCTTGATGCCATCGGCCAGTTTGGGCTGCCGAGCTGGCTGTGCGTAGGCAGCCCGGCTCTGACGGAGGCGGCAGCCGCTGGCAATGGCGCGCTCCGAAGCCAGACGGGCTGCAGCGGAGAGGCACAGGGGAGGGGAAGGGGGACAAGAGCAGGTCGCAGAAGAGGCAAGGGAGGAGGGAGAGCGAAGGGTGAGAAAAGTGAAGGGGGGAAGAGGGAGGGAAGTACGGGGGAGAGGCAGGGGGGGGCAGGAAAAAGAGAACGTGGAGGACGCGAAAGAAGGCAAAGACGAGGAGCAGCATCGGAATCAGCAAAGCGTGGCCCAAGACAAGCAAGTGCTCCAACTGCGGTGCCCGACCTCTTGCTAGAACACGCGCTGACAATATGCGGTTGGATCCACAGGCTCTAGATGGGATAGCATTGCTGACGGATGTCAGCCTCAAGGCAGGAGGCTGGGCCAGACCCTCCGAATGTTATGCTACATCCCTAAGATGGTAGGGCAGAAAATCGGCATCCGCACAAAGGAATACAACACCCGTTCATGTTAGGACGCTATTGTATGAGACAGGGGATCTTCGTACTGGTGTCGCCTTCCGATGCCCGTGAAAGAGAGTTTGAACAGTAGCGCTGCAAGACGGGCATTGTCATGTGGCAGCATCGCTCGGCGCTGCGTGCTAGCACTGCGTGTTCGAATCGTGCGCCAGCATTCCCAAACCTCCGTTGCCGTGATTTGTTCAACCAGTGACCCCCGACTCTGTCGACCCGTCCCCAGAAGCGCATTTCTGCGAGGCGTCGATTTCTCCATGTCCACCGCCTGGGAAACGACGTCCTGGTGTACCAGCGGGCGGTGGATGCGGACATACTTTGGCCGCTGTGGGCCACAATGTAACCACCGCCTGTGGAGGTCCGAAAGGATCGATCCTCCAGGCGGTGGTTATGGATCACTCCCAGCCGCGGACGTCCTTTCCCCGTGCAGTTTTCGAGATCGTGCGCGTATTGCTTCTCCTAGGGCTCCCAACTTCGCGCTTCGCGCTCCGCGAAGCGCGAAGCGCGAATAACTTCGCGCCCTCGCGCCGCCCCCCCAAAGGGAGAAAAGGAGGACGAGGAGGAGGGGGAGAAGGAACGAGGACCGCGAAGCGCGAAGCGCGAATAACTTCGCGCCCTCGTGGGAGCCCTTGTTCTCAGGATGATCCAACTTGCGAAAATGCGGACACTGTGTGACCAATTGTTAAACCATCCTGAGGCCTCAGAGGCTCATCGCAAGCGATGAGGCAAGAGCTTGAAAAATGTTGATGCTCATATGCTGTTTGAAGGATTGTAGCCTCCTGGGAACCTCTTGGGAGCCTCTTGTGGACCTCTCGGGGCCACTTTGGGGCCATCGTGAACTTTCTCGTATGGCCTGGAGGCCATGTGGGGCCGTCTGGCGGGCTCCAGGGCCGTCGCGAGGCCATGTGGGGCTGTCTGGGGGTCGTCTTGGAGGGTCCCCAGGGTATGCTCACACCTAGATGTATACATATATATATAGACATACACATGATATGTGTATATGTGCGCGTGAATGAAAATGTATGTGTATGCGTACACACTTACATATAAGCACATGTATACATATATACATACATGCATGCATGCATGCATGCATGCATGCATGCATGCATACATGCATACATACATACATACATACATACAAACATACATACATACATACATACATACATACATACAGAGAGAGATATCATAAACATGTACATTTACATGCGCATGTGCATGTATGTAGACAGTTGAGTATGCAGATGCGAATATAGATGTAAATGGTTCTAGATGTGCGTAGAGATATCCACGTGCACGAACATATGTACGTTGACATAGATGTGGGCATGTCAAGTTATACATACCCATACATACACGCATGCATATACATACGCAGAACTATAGATATACACATGCACATGGAGTTACACGAGCATATACATATATATATATATATATATGTATGTATGTACATCCATACATACGTACAGGGATGGATGCACGTCCACATACGCATGCATGTACACATGTATAGATGCATATATATACATAAATATGCATGCGCGTGCACACATACACACATACGTACATACATACCTACATACCTACATACCTTCCTACCTACCTACCTACCTACCTACATACATACATACATGCATACATACATACATACACACATATATACAAACATACATCAATACATACACGCATACATACATACATACATATGCATGAATGCATGCAAACATACATACAGACAGACAGACAGACAGAGGTACATACAAAACCAATACTGCATATATATATAGATATGCGTATACATGGATTTAAACACATATGCATATACACAGCTGTCTCAACTACACATCTACATCTACTCATGTGAAGACAGAGAGCGAGGTTAACAGAGAGATAAACAAAAAGAAGAGAGAGCGCGCGCGCACAACAGAGGTAAACACACAGAGTGTGTGCTTGAGCGGGGCACTACCATACGTGTGTGGGTTATACGTGCTTCATTGCAGAACAGACACGTCGTGGGGTACGAGTCAAAGGGCCCAACGAAACAGCACCAGCAATGGAAAGCGTCCTCAATGTAACTCTGGCGAGCATGCACGCGCCTGCTTAATCTTGGAAGTGGCTCAACTACGTCTCCCAAACAATCCACTGTGCCAACAACTCCCCAAGGTCCATGTGTCGGCTCCCCCCGCGACCCCGCCACGGAAAAGAGTGCAGTGGCAAGCTCTGGAATCAGAGGTGCAATTCCGCTCGCGACAGAAGCGATGCCCTAAGACCTCGTCGAATGCCATGCGCTGGACCAGATGTAGCGGTAAAGATGAGAGCGCAGACGACAGCAGAGGAAATGAGTGACTCCCGACAAATGCATGGAGGAATCGACGAGCTGGAGATGGTCAAGAGGAATACGAAACCAATCGTGCTGAGTGGGAACGTGTTGTCAACAACCGCCATGTGCCGAGTGTTGTGAGTCAGAGAGCACTCCAATGCAGGGAAGCAGGGGAGTAGCATCAAGCCTCCAATCACTGTCTATATACCTCACCTTTCCAGTCTTGACAAGCGCCAGGACATCTTCATCAGAATCTCCGACAAAAGGTCGATAACCAATGAGTAAAACATACATAAGCACGCCGGTGCTCCACATATCGCACCTTATAAACAAAAGCATCATGTGGCTATGGACGGGCCATGGACATACTCGTGGAGCCAAAGGTCAAAACTCGGGGCTAAAGACAAGGCTCGGCGAGGCAAGCGCGAAAAGACGCAGGAGTCAATACCGACACAAGTCTGAGGACATAAACTCGGTGGTGGACAAGGCTCCCTTTAGTAAACCTCCATTTAGTGAGAACGGCCTCGGACCGAAACCGACGGACATGGACCCGCAAAAATGACGGCCGCGACGCCCTCTCGCGAACCGAAAACGGCCAATTCGCTAATCGACGTGTCAGGGTAGGAGGTCGATCAACCTCCGATAAACAAAGCACCGACGTGGAGGTAGAAGAGAATGCAAGCAAGAGGAGGCCGCAGAACACAGAAACCTACGTGTGGCTGGCAAGTGCTCGAAGACCGTGCTGGAGCGACCTAGGACCTGAACCCCTGGGGAAACCTGCCATCCTCCCTCCCTCTTCCCTCTGCCCTCCCTCCCTCCATCCTCTCCTTCTTCCACCCCCCTTTGGTTATCCTCCTCCTCCTCCTCCTCTTCCTCCTTTCCACTTGGTGAGCAGACATTCTCATTCTCACTCTCCTCCTCTTCCTCCCCCTCCTCCTCCTCCTCCTCCGTATCCCACGGGGCCGCACAGGGGCTCCTCCACGCGCCCCTCTCTCCCCGTCTCCCTTCTCCCTTTCCCCTCCCTCTCCCCTGCCCCTCCTCCCTCGTCTCTCCTCCTCCCTCCCCCCTCCACACTCCTCCCCCCCCCCTCCCCCGACGTGCCCGAGGCCCGCACGAGATGTCGTACTCCCCGCGCAGAACCTCCGGCGCAACCCAGTCCGCCGTGCCGGCGACCTCGTCCATAAAACATCCAGGCTCACACCTCGCACTCGCAGAGGCCCGAAGGAAAAGGCTCCAGAAGATCGAAGGCGCACAGTGAGGACACGCATGCGACTCCCAGGAGAGGGAACGCGCGTCAGCACAATGTTCACCACCCGACGCTCCGGAAGGAGAGGGCGGAACCACATGGACCTCTGGGATGCAAGTGCCCTCCGCAGGCATGTGAGGCTTCCCTGGAGGCATGCAAGGCAAACTCTCCCTCCAACGGGCTTATCCTCACTAGCGGCGCGGCGGCACGTGAGAAGCACCGAACAGTCTCAAGTTCCAAAATGAGCCTGGCAGAACACGCAAAGCTTCGGCTGAGCGCGGCAGAAGGTTCAGTGGCACATCCTGGCGAAGAAGACAAGAGCCCGCCTCAGAAGACCTGGGCGCCTCAGAAGACCTGGGCGCCCTCCAAGCGAAAGCGCGGGGAGCCAAAACGGTGAGCGCCTGAGCGGGAGAATGTGCGAAAAGGTGGAGCGTGGTAGGAAGGGTCTGGAAAGATCGAGGTGCGGGCGCTAATGGCCGGTAAGGTGGGCAAATCATTTGCCATGTTTCCTACATGTTGCGTATCCCCACGGTCGGCTTGTTCGCGGGATTCGCCAGGCACGAACACCAGAACCAAGAAGCAAATCCTCCCGCTGACAATCCTGCCGTCCTTAGAACTCCCTGACCGAATGCAAAATACAATACAACCTTCAAAAAACATCCCGCAACGAAGGAATGCCTCGCATGGCAGTGGTTCGAGCAGGACAGAGGGAGACAGACGGGCCTCTTCGACAAACCGAAGTCGGTGAGCTTGAGCACGTTCTTCTCTATGGGAGCCTGCCGCAATCGTAAGGCGAAGGAGATCATCACTAGCACGAGCCATCATGAAGATAAGGAACCATTCGCAACAGGGCGAGCTCTCAGACAGGGCCTCACTACCTGCTCAAGGCCACGGCCCTGCGAAATGTCAAAGAAGCTACAGGGAGCAGTGTTGCAATCTGCTGACGTCTGGATCGGCAATGGTTCCCACCCTGCTGAAGGCACCGATCTCTCGGATCCCCATTGCCTGGCCGCACAGCGTATCTCTGATGGCACGAGCAAAATCCCACCTGCCCTCTAAACGCAGGTGGTCAAACGACGATTCTTTTTTCCTCTTCCAAAAACCCTTCTTCCCCTTCGGAGAGGGGTTTATCCCTCCCCCTACCTCCTCCCCTGGACCAGGACGGGGGGGGGCGCGACGGGTTGGAGCGTCCAACATCGGCCCCTGGGAGGGCCAATTTTTGACACCCCTCACAAGGACCGTGGCCCCCGAGGGGGGGGCTCGATCTGGACCCTTCCTCCTTTGACCGCTAGCCTCGAAGATGGCCCCAAGAGGCGCTCCAGGTTTCCCCAGAGAGCCCCAAGAGGGCTCCAAGAGGGTCCCAAGATGGCCCCAAGAGGCACCCAAAAAGCACCCGAGAGGCCCCCAGGAGGCCCCCGAGCGGCCTCAGAGAGCCCAAGATGACCTCCAAGATGGCTCAGATAGCCCAAACTGGCTCAAGATGGTTCCCAAGATGCTCCAAACGGCCCCAGTACCGCTCCAAGAGCGCCCAAGCGCACACCAAGAGAGCCCCAAGAAGCAGTTTGCCGGCTCCTGAAGGGGGAACTGAGTTGGGGACCCCCCCATCCTGTAATCGATAGCCTCCAAGATGATCCCAATAAGTTTTCCAGGGTTACCAAGAAGGTTCGTTCCAAGCGGGCCCCACAAATTCCAGAGAGCATAAGCAGTAGCAGCAGCAGCAGCAGCAGCAGCAGCAGCAGCAGCAGCAGCCGCAAGAATACCTTTAGATGGTTCCATGAGTCCTCGTCCGCGTCGTCCTCATCCTAATCCTCGTCCTCCTCGTTTTCACCCTCATCCGCGTCATCGTCCTCCTCGTCGTCCTCCTCCTCCTCCGCCTCCTCGCCCCCACGCGGCACCCAAGGATGGCCCCAAAAGGCATTCCACGGCCACCCCCTTGCTCGCTTTGTTTCCCTGGATGTGTCTTTTCGCCCCTTCTCCCGCCAGCTCGGAAGGGAAGGGTTTCTGAATGGACGGGTGGAAATACATTTTGGTCGCGAGCGCAACTGGTACAGCTGCGCGCCGTCAGAACGAAGCAACAATGCAACGACGTAAATTGCGCACTAAGCACACAGGAGCGAACTACGCTGTGGCTAAGAAAGCGCCGAAGACCAGGGAAGACTCCAGGTCGACGTGCAGCGCCAAAATGGCGATGAGCAGGAAGCCGACGAACTCGAAGACCGCCATGACGCAGCCGGAGAAGACGACGAACGGGCGTGCAGGCGCTCAACGGAAGAGTTCCGGATCGCCAGGAGTGGGAGCGTGCCAGCGGCGGAAGCGCCACCACGGCGGGGGAGCAGGAGAAGCATCGTCAGGGCAACACAGGAGCAGCGAAGGCGACGAGCCAGCGGAAAAGGCCACGCCCTGGGCTGGAGGCGGCGGCGCCCAAGCCAGGGGTACAAGCCGACCCCGGGGGGAGGCGATGCGGGGGAGGACCAAGCGTCCGTCAACCCCGAGCGGGCGGAGGCGGCGAACTCAGGCGAGTCGCAGGCCCGAGAGCCCAGGCTGGTGGGGCTACAAGAAGCGTGAAGAATTTCGAACGCCCTCCGATGAAAACGCCATTTCTCACGTCTACACCTCCTCTTGTCCGCGCATCCACCTGTGGGAAAGGACTGCGGGTGTCAATCCGAATTCCGCCCGCTTAATGACTTGGCGCCGCCTCAAATTCGAACGAACACACATTGCTGCAAGTGTTGACAAGATAAAGCTGAGCAATGCCTCGAATTCGAGTTCGTCGACGGCCTGCGGTTCCTGACATGACTTTACGCCTCAAATCGCGACGAAGCAGCACATCCCCCAGCACACCGAATGTATTTACACGCTCGAATCTAGCTCATATCGTCGAGCTAAGCAATATTCGCTCCAACAGCGGCAACAAACATCAATGTGAGCCCTGTGGATGTGAAAGCTTTGTGGTGCAAGCTCTTTGATGTCAGCGACGTTGTGCAATATACGTAGTGCACGTTAGAGGTGGCAACGAAGCGGCACTGGGCGGCAACGCGGCGAGTCCTCGCCGGATGCACCCAGCACACGAGGCGGCAACAGAGGCGGCAACCAGCGGCAACGCGGCGAACTCTCGCCAGAACCACCCAGCGCACGGGGCGGCATCTGGGCGGCAACGGGCGGCAACCTGGCGAAACCTCGTGGACCACCAAGCGCCCGAGGCGGCAACGAGGAGGCAACGTGCCGGTAACGGGCGGCAACGTGGCGAAACCTCGCCAGACCCACCCGGCGCACGAGGCAGCAACGAGGCGGCAACGGGCGGCAACGTGGCAAAACCGCGCCGGACTGATCCAGCGCTCGAGGCGGCCACGTGGGCCACGGGCGGCAACGTGGTGAAACCTCGTCAGACGAACCCAGCGCACGAGGCGGCAACAAGGCGGCAACGGGCGGCGAAACCTCGCTGGACGACCCATCGCACGAGGCGGCAACAAGGCGGCAATGGGCGGCGAAACCTCGCTGGACGACCCGTCTCAAGAGGCTCCCGGCTCGGGCTGGGGGCGCGGCCGCGGCGGGGACGCGGCCCACGCGGCCGGGGGGGCGGGGAGCCTGGGGCGGGCCCGGGGTGGGCGGGCCTGGGGGCGCTTGGGCGCGCCCGGGGCGGGCCCGTCCCATGGCGGCACGGTGCCAGATGGCGGAAGGAGAGCGGCCAAGAGTCCACGAGGTGGTCGCAGAGCAGAGCAGAGGAGGTCAGGAGGAGGCAGCGAGGATGAGGATGAGGCGGAGGAGGAGGCGGCTGGCAGACAGCCCAGATGACGAAGCGAGGACAAGCATGAGGCTGAGGGCGAGAAGGACGAGGATGAGGGCGCAGCGCAGCACGCCGCGCGGCCTGCCGCTCGCCCGTGGTGCCGCTTCGTCTGGGCCGCCGTGCTGTGGGCCACCTGCGCGCTGCCAGCGCCGGAGATCCTTCTTCGCGGGAGGACCTCTGAGCGGCAGCTCGGGGACCAGCAGCGCGACAATGCCGCCCATGAGTGGCTCGAGGACGTCGACGAGCACCACGTCAATGCGCAGTACGGCGATTCCAGCTTCGACGCTGCCGACTCCAGCTTCGACACCAGCTACGAATCCAGCTCTAGCAGCACCGATCCGAGCTATGACGCCATCGCCGGCTCCAGCAACGATGACAGTCATGAAGCCAGCGCCGACTCCAGCTTCGACGCCAGCGCCGACTCCAGGTGGAAATGACAACGGGGAAGATGAAGATAACCGATTCGGACAGGTCGGCCCGCCTGGTGAAAGGGGCGCCCTCGCTGGTGGAAAGGGGCCTTCGTGTTCGGCATCCCAGGGCGGTCGGACGGGATCCGAGCCGACCCAATTGTCTCAACAGATGCCAGTACAGGTCGGCCCGACCGGTGAAAGGGGCGCCCTCGCTGGTGGAGAGGGGCCTTCGCGTTCGGCATCCCAGGGCGGTCGGACAGGATCCGAGCCGACCCAATTGCAACAAAAACATCCTTCGTCGTCACGGCCGGATTCGCCTCAGGATTCCGACGGCGCCAACCCCGCACAAGACGTCCGCGACGACGGAGTCAAACAGTACGTCGGTAATCAGTTCTACGGAGTCAAGCTCTATTGCGGCGTCTGCCACGACGGAGTCGAGCAGCATATCGGTCGAGTGCCAGCGCCGACTCCAGCGACGACGCCAGCTACAGCTCCAGCTCTGGCAGCATAGACGCCAGCTACGTCGCCAGCACTGGTGCTGGCTCCAGAGCCCCCACCAACGCCGACTCCAGGTACGACGCCAGCTACGACGCCAGCGCCGACTCCAGCTACGATGCCAGCTACGACTCCAGCTCTGGCAGCACCGACGCCAGCTACGACACCAGCGCCCACACCAGCTGCGACGCCAGCTACGAAGCCAGCGCCGACACCAGCCACGACGCCAGCTACGGCGCCAGCACCGGCGCCAGCTCTAGAGCCTCCGCCAGCGCCGACTCCAGCTACGACGCCAGCTACAACGCCAGCGCAATCTCCAGCTACGATGCCAGCTACGACTCCGACTCCGGCGGCACCGACGCCAGCTACGACGCCAGCGCCGACTCCAACTACGACGCCAGCTACGAAGCCAGCGCCGACTCCAGCTACGACGCCAGCGCCGACTCCAGCGCCGAAGACTGCCCCGTCGCCAGCTACGAATCCAGCTCTGACAGCACCGACGCCAGCTACGACGCCAGTACCTGCGCCAGCTTCAGAGCCTCCGCCAGCACCCAAGCTAGCTACGACGGCAGCTCCGACTGCCCCGAAGCCAGCTACGACTCCAGCTCTGACAGCACCGGCGCCAGCTTCCACGCCAGTAGCTGCGCCGGCCCCAGAGCCTCCGTCAGCACCGAAGCCAGCAATGACGGCAGCTCCGATTGCCCCGACGCCACCTACGACTCCAGCTCAGACAGCACCGACGCTGGCACCGTGGCCAGCTCGCACGGCGGCGCCTGCACCGGCACCAACGCCAGCGCCTAAACCAGCAGCATTGACGCCAGCACCAACGCCTGCGCCCACACCAACACCAACACCAGCGTCTACTCCATCACCGACGCCAGCACCGACGCCGGCACCGACGCCAGCACCGACGCCAGCGCCTAGGCCAGCACCAACGCAAGCGCTTGCAGCAGCGCCGACGCCAGCACCGACGACGACAGCACCGACGCCAGCGCACCGACGCCAGCAACGACGCCAGCACCGACGACGCCAGCGCCACGACGCCAGCACCGACGCCAACGCCAACGTCCATGCTGGCACCAACGCA